TTGAATTCAGCGGTGGGTTGGGGATAATCGCTTTTGGAACTTACGGGAATGTTAAGAGCCTCAATAATTACATCGAAGCATCGCGTTTGAAAAGCGCACTGGCAATGCTGGAGATTGAGAGAGCCAATTTAGAGATTATTATGATACAGTTAAAAAAAGCTATCAATAATCAGCAAAAAGCATCACAGTCAAGTCAACCATTACTAAAAAGACTTGCTAAGTATTGTGATCTGTCCTTGCGCAGTTCTGATTTTGTCTCCAATAGTGCCACGAATCGTGATTGATGATAAGTTACTTAATGTGATAATAGGATGTAATGGTGAGATGCCAGTTAATATCTTGTTTTCGAATGAGACGATTTACAACACCCTAAAAGTCTCACGGCATGATTGCATAGTTTGAGGCAAAGCATCGACGTTTTCTTATTATATTTTAGTAAAGCTTATGCTTTTATTCATTTTTTTTGTATCGAAAATGCTAATAAATACTACAGGTGGGTGTGGGTATGGCTCTCTCTCTTCATTCATATCCACAAGCTAACTATCATTTTTTTTGTTACTTTGAAAGGGATAACGAAAAACAACTGGCATTATAGATCTAAAACCATATCTGTAATAGGCATAGTTTTGTCGTCATGTAACAAAAACATCGTAGACTAAATTGAATTCATTGTCAAGTTTTAGATCATTACTTGAATTCGTTAGATAGCAACTGCTACGAATAGATACATTTTTGTTAAAGCATAGTTTTAACTAAATAACGATATAATAATAATAATTTTGAATTCTACTCCTTAGTAGAATAGGGAACCAATATGATATTGATAAAATTTGATTATTTGTTCGAATATATATATATATCTATTGATTTGAATTGTATTATTTATTATAATATAATATATCTATTGATTTTTGTTTAATTCTTAAGAAATTATTATCAACACTAACTATGTTTTATTAAAGATGTTGACTTTGACTAATTCGTCATAATGTTCTTCAGTTAGTATGTTAGAAGTGATCAAATCGTTGTTCACTTTCACTCTTTGGTAGCTATCTTCTATCTTCTATATTTATTTTCTACATATACTCTCTGTTGAAATAATTTTAAGTTGTTCGTTGATAACATTGAGTTGTTGTTGGATTCTTTCTTGAAAACTATTATCTTGTCTTTGTACTTGCAGCAGTCCAATTTTGTTTTTGTATATCTAAAGAAGTTTGTAAATTAGATAACATGTGTTCAATATGATCTTTTTTTGCCTACATATGTGTTTCACGGTGTTCATTATAAGCTCTGGATCTTATCTTGAGTAAATTTTGTAACTTTATTTTTATTAATGAAAGTTGATTTAAGGATAATAAAACATTATGTATCTTGCACAAGTTGTTATAAATTTACAAATGGATAACTTTTATATGACAACAGAAAAACAATCACTACTACTAATTTCTTCCCATTGAGTATAAAATTGAGATTATGTACTACGAGACAGAGATCGGGTGTAGGTGTAGGTGTGGTTGTAAATCGAGTTTATCCTTTTTTATTTGTCATAAATATAAGAACATTGTCGAAGATCCTCATCTTTGCCATACAAAATTTGCTTAAGATATTTCTAAGCATGTCTTTCGTCAACGTTATACTGGTATGAAAAGAAAAACAACAGATAAAGTTGATAAGAATAAATATGACTCAGTATTTGTCAAAAGAAATCTTACACGCTCTTTTCATTCTTTGACTGATGCAATGATATTGAAATCTACATCAAGAATGCTATGAAGATTTATGATAGTGGATATAAAGCACAGAAAAACGACAGCAATCAAAAACGAAACAAATCATGGCGGAATCAAACGATAATGATGATTATTATTGGAACAAGCATCTTTTAAGACTATTGAAACAATATCCAGATCATCAATGCCTTATTTTTAATAATATGAATCTTATTGATAAAGACATCCCTATCATTGTTCAAGAAGCGTTGATCAACAAACCATGTATTCAGCTTCAAATGTCGTCAAACCGATTGACATCGGAGGGAGCTCGGCTTCTAGCTCACGCGTTTGAGCAAAATACGGTTTTAGAAATGTTGGATCTAAGTAATAACCGGATTAGAGATGAAGGTGTTGAATACCTTGTCGCGTCACTTCGAATGTGTCATCATCTTAAATATCTTCGACTGGGAGCAAATGCTATTACTGACGTTGGTGCAGAACATCTTGCTCGACTCTTATTAGAAAATGGACATCTCGAAGTTCTCGAACTTACTTCTAACGAATTAACATCACAAGGTATTATAACACTTGCAAAAACTGTACCGCATTCTCGTCTTGCATATTTCTATGTTGATAGAAACCAAGACGTCAATGATGAATGTATCGATGCAATCATCGTCATGATTCGAGAATCAAAATATTTAACAGCTGTTTCATTGCAGGATATGAATTTTTCTCCCAAGGCTAGAGAGAAATTGCGACAAGTAGTCAAGTACAAACGTCCCCATTTTCTTACAATTTGATTACATAATTGATTAAATGATATTATAATTAAATAAAAATAAATAAAGTGAAGTTGTTAACATTTTATATAATTTCAACAAAATCTGAAGTACATGTTTCTTTTCTTTGATTGATTGTTAATATGGCAGATGATCAGAACGTTTTTAGATAAGATAAAGATTCACTTATAAAACAGAACCCTGCAACGGTTGGAATAAATGGCTACTTGATAAATATTTCTGATATGATGTGGGTACGATCTGTAGCATTCAGCATCGGTCTGATTGTATTTATAAAGAAGATCTTTATCCACCTACACCTTCTCACCTATTTTATAAACAGTAAATTAGATGTAAACAGCTTTTTGCTAACAGTGAGTCCTTGATTATTTATCTATCCTACAAAATGATATGAGAGAGGAATGAAAATAAGACTACATATTCGATAACATAAAAAGAATTTTCTGAAAAGTTTTCGAGAAAACATACTCACTATGATTATATTTACTCAGACGTGTTCATTTCAATGTGAATATGCGACAACGAGATAATGGGCAATGCTCGACGTTCCATGTTGAATGAGACTAAGTATGTCTCTATTTTGCGACAATTAAACATGCATTTATCGTGTTTATTCAGAAGATTATACCCACGTTAATGATAACATTTTTGTCGAAAGTAGAAACATTCGAAAAGAAAACAATCCAGAGCATTACTAAAAGCGACTAGTGGAACTCCAGTTATCAGATTTAACCAACGAAACTTAGTGCATCTTTTTTGCGTTCAGGAAGATATGTTTACTCATATTCTTCTGCTTATCTTTTTCCTTTTCTTACTTGTGCGAAAGTAACAGAGTCAACCTAATAATAAAATATTATGAGCTCCCTTTGCCTTGCACTATGATGATGCAGTCATTGTTTTTTTCATAAATAGATCTGCTTCTCTAGTTTTATTTTATGCCATTAATTCAGACTTGAAGTAAGTGTATCCTGACCAATCTGCCAGTATCTTATGAAAGAAGAGAAAACGCTCCAATACATGAAGGAATTATGTGAAGGACTTTTTCGCGTCGGTTTATTTTTTGAACAGATCTGTGGCAAAACAACGATCAAAATTTAGCAATTCACACTTACGTGTGTCGATGGATGTTTTAACCTGCAAAAACGAAATTAGCTCATCACATACACGATAACCGTTCATTTTATTTTAGACCCTGTAAGACCAAACTATTCAAGCTCAATCGTGATATGCAGTAGAAACGAAAAAGTGTATAACGATCACATAGTTTAATGTTATTTCACAATATATATGAACAAAAAAAAAGACAAGTACATACATTATTCATTGAATTTTTGTACAAAAATGAAACAGTGACTCTGGTGAGACAGATTATAGGGTACATTTGCAACTTCTAGTCGTATTGGGTTGCAGAAAATGCCGATCTAATTATCCACAGAAAATCCAAATTATGGAAGAAGGTACGATTGATTTCTAAATAATATGTGATAATACGATCTCTATACACGAATTTTCTGATCCTCATAAATTTAAGCACACTGCCAAAAAGTTGCAAAATCAACACTTAAATTCAGACAATATCTGAAAATGATTCTAAAATTATGAAGTTGTGTAGCTATAAATTATTGTTAAAATGATCTTCGGTAGGAAATCGGTTTTATAGCGTATTATTGTCGAAATACATCCAAAATTAACTTAGATAAGTTTTAAATGTTACTTTAAGGTGCACATCCATAATAATCATTATGAAAATCGATGTTATTTATCAGATTTCTTAGTGGTTTTACGAATCTGATGTATGTATATATATATATCAAAAAGATATAAACTACGAAGTTATAGAGATTCGAATATCCTGATGAATTCAAATTTTGAAGATCATCAATTACCTTTTGATCGTCACCATAGCTACCAACTTGTTAAGATGGATCATTGTTTTATACTTTTTTTATTTTCAATTATCTTTCTTTCTGTTTATTTTTTTCGAAAACAATTTGCGTTTTTGCGCTTGAGTTTTGGATGTAGAGTCTTGAAGAATGTTTCAAAATTTTAATAAACAACATGAAACGCGCTATGACATAAAACTATGCATTGTTTACTATCTGAAACCCATTAATTACAAACTTCTACTGTATTCAAACTAGTCAATTGCTGAAAAAACAAAATTTGTCTTTTTTCGAGAGATAGATGATTTTGAGTTTTGATTATTTTCATTGGCACTAGTCGTCGACCTATTTCTGACACTACTGAGTTCACGAAAATTATTTTAGACAGACAGAATAATGACAAATGTAAGACGATCATCAAAATATTTTGCGCATTCAAAACTAATATCAATTTGACAACAATCGATTGGTATTAAATTGATTCATGATCTTCTGCATTAAGTATTGTTGCACATAATACGAATATACAAAGAAGATGTTCAATTAGATAATAATTATCATTGAATGTATCGTTCAGACTGAATATACTAACTAGAAACAGAATAAGGAACACTGCAAAAAACAAAAGTCATTGGTACACGATTTTTTTTCTTTCTTTTATAGTCTTCCTTCAATCTATTTCTCGCTTTCTTTTTTTCTATGGGATATTTCTTTTACCCCTCTCTCTTATTTTCTTTCTATATCAGTATGTTAGTTTGTATGCGATAGACAAGTATTTTCCAATGATACAATATCAACGGTTCATATATTTCATCTTAAAGTTAATTTTTGCCCCAATTATCTAATATATCTATGTGAAAGATAGTTCTTTATAGTATACCAATAACTTTACTGCACACGAAGATAGTAAAGAATCTAACAGAAATACACCCTCTATTCATACTTCTAAGATGATCAGTGAGTATCCAGCTTTTGTTTTAAAACAGATAGATACTTGGAATAGAGTGACAAACATTTAAGTTGCATTTATCATTTGATATTTGCCAACACGATTCGATTTGTAGCCGAGATTGTTGAGGCTAAAATTATTACTTTGTCTATATGTGTTTGTTACTTTTTGCTCTGCTAGAGAATTCACGGATTATTTTCTTTCATTAATAAGAATGTTATCGGTCTGTGTTATTCTTTTCCCTGTGTACTTCACAGAATATATATACGGTTCGGGTGTATTTCTATTCTGTTCCGTTAACATCCATGAAATTGACGAGAGATGGAAAAACGATAGAAGAAAAAGGTCCAATATTTAGCTATGTATGCATCAAATAGAAAGAGGATGAGAAAGAACATTATGCTGATGAGTCAGCAACTATTACTACTAATATTGAATATGCACTTGTTGATCTCTTCTTTTGAGACCAATTGTTTGGTGATTTTGTTACCATACAAGTAAACTAACATCTTCTGTATGCTTCAGCTATGGAGTTTCTTCCTTTGGAATTAGTTCAAGCAATTGTTCTTCGTGTTGATTGCTCATTTTCTGAGTTCCTTCGCTTTTCATTGATTTGTCGCCAGTGGCATTCAGCCATAATCGATGAATCAATATTCAATCGTTTCTTTGCTCGTCGATTCTTCCAACAACTTCCGATTCAACTCAACGAAATATTGTTAGCCGAAGAAGAGACCTTTCCTTATCACCCAGAAGATCGTCTCATTCTGCCTTGTTTGCGTACCTCCACCATTCTACGCTTGCATAACAATAATCGATACACACAGTCGATTGCTCACTGGCCTCCAACGGTACTGTCATTATCGTTCTCACTCTCATGCTGGATTTGGCTTCCAAAAGATACTTACTCACTCACTTTCGATCTTCAGCCATCGAGTGCCGAACGCGCCTACCTCTTCTTATCCCCGAGTCGCAATCTCTGGTGTGTCTACGCTCACGGAATGCAATTTAGTGGTCAATGTCAAGTTGATTTGGAACAATGGGTTTTCATCGCTGTGAACTGTCAAACTTCGTCAATTTGCTCGTTCTGGCTTAATGGTAACAAGTATCAAAGTGAAAGCGAACGAACACACTTTCATAATCTGTCTCGCAAAGACGATACTTTCGTTGTTAGATCCTACAACAATTGGACAACATATCATGATGCGTTGATCGGGGATCTTCATATATTTCCGTTCTGCTTGTTGTCGTACGAGATACAAACTATGGTAGAACAGAAAAGCAGTATCGATCAGGTCAATATGGGTGCATACGTCATGAAAAAGATGATGACAGTAACTAATTGAGACTATAATTAAGTTCTCTGTATCCTTCTATCTATATAACTTGTCTACATGCGTGTTGAAGCTTGGCAATTTCATGTTATCACATGATTTTCAAAAGATTCTTTGCTATTCTTCTCTTGTATCGTGCCTACGAATGTTTTTGAAATATGAGCGCCTAACAATGCCGATGCATTGACTATTTAATTCATACTGCATTTAAAAAGATGAGCACGAATGAACTGTATATTTTACATCAATGGACAAAAACATTCGTTTGTCGTGTTTGCTGTCAGTGTCGTTTATTGAGAACTAAATGAGAACAAACATCACTGCAAAAAATAGAACAATGTGAAGAGATTTCTTACACTTACTAGTTTGATGCGAGTTTCTGTGTTTTCTGTCGGGACATAAACTTACTCATGTCACATCTGCACCCACACCCTGAGTATGAGTGTGGCTTTGGGTAAATATATGTATGTATGTTTTGCAGAACCAAGCCAACTCTACTCACACCTTCAGACTGTGTATTTTGGACTCTCCTGTTGAGAACAGCGAGGTTTATTGTCGTGAAGTTTCAATATACTAGAATTTCGTTCTAGTATAACATATGGGACTGGAGCTTTTAAGTTCGATTGACTTATTAACTTTCTTTATTAAATAAAAAGAAATCCTTAGAAACAATAATTTTTCACCTATATTTTATTTTTTCTCAACAATTTTATAAAATAAAATCTATCTCATTTTTGTTTTGTTTTTTATTTCGTCTTTCATGAGTTATTCACAGACAAAGTTTTTTATGATAAAGGTTTATTTGCTTATACAACGTAACAACGCGACAACAATGTGGAGAAATGACTGATTATCATTAAACAAATCAACAATATAGTTTTGATAATTTAGATCAAGTATGTATCAACAAACTGGAATATTTTCTTAGAATAACTTTTTGTTGTTTCTAATGTATTATTAGACTTTTTTGTTTTGCCATTTCGAGATGGTTTAGTGCAATGATATATAATAGAATTGATGATATTGATGTTGGCATACTTCCAACGTAAACAAAATACACATATAAAGTTAAATGTGCAATCGACTTTGAACGTAGACGGCTTTCTAAACATGAATAATCACATTATGGACATTTTGCAACATGTAGAAAACATTTATGTCATACATATGATAGTAAATATTTTTATCAAATTATTGCCGCTAAAATAACTCTTACTGCTCTGATAATGTCATTAGAATTCTGTTTAATGACACTAATAAATTTTAATAAGATTCTCTTTATTTTTCTTTGTTATTCTTCGAATTTTTCTTTTCAATGGGCTTTTGATATAACGATTAGTTTAAGGACAGCTATAAAATGGAGACTTGTTTCAAATTATATATCTTATCATAAATTATAGATGGAATCAAAATGTGATATTGTTATCATTACTTTATCAATATTTGGTATCGTTGTAAAAAAAAGAAAAAGAAAAGCGAACATATACTATCAGCTAGCCCAATTTTTACAAGTGTCATGAGAATGTTAAGAATTGCACGAGATAATCAAATACGAATGATTCCCAATAACGAAAACCCTTTTCGAATTCATCATTGTATAATAATAGATTTAAATAAATATCTAATATACTGTGATGTGTCCTAATGTTTAACAAGGAAATCATCGGAATCGATAAGTTTCTTAAGTGATTAATTTGCTTAGTATCAGATACTACCAGAGTAGTTTCTTCGAATCTCAATGACAAAAAACATAGTATCACTCTGGAGAAGGTATTAACTGTTATTTGTCTCGTATTGTCGATATTATTACATGTTGACTACGTTGCACCTAAACATATCGAACAACGATATTATAAAAAAGATAAGTTGCTGAGATTAAAATCGAGGCTAGAACAAAAGAGATTATCTAAATTGGAACTAAGGTTTATAAATAAAATTTTCTACGATTTGAATCGGTTGATTTTGTTATTTAGACATGATATTAGGGTGTGGATATGGGTGTCTTTGACTCCCACCCATACCCACACCCACACCCTACTCTTATTAACGTAAACTCTGAACTAATTTCATTCTTTATCATAAGAACATAATTTTAAAATACCACTTAATGGTATCTCTCGTTATTAACCCACATTCTTACCGTTAGGCATACATCATAATTAAATTACTAACTTCGTGCAGAATGTTTCTTATTCACTTGTAAGGATGTGGGTCAGTGTGGGTGTGGGGTGGGTATGAGTCAAAGACACTCACACCCACACACCCACACCCACACCCACACCCAGTGGATCGTTATGTGGACTCATATATAACTCTATGGTCAAATTCGATCTTATATCTAACTCGTGCTAATAAATTACGAAAAATGAAATTTCAATTTTCAAGAATGCTCTCTTTTTGTGTACTCAAAGGGTGTGGGTGTTGGTGTGAGTGTGGGTCTGCGGGGTATGAGTGTGATTATGGGTGTGCGTGTGGGTATTAGTGTAGGTGTGGGTGGCTATGGGGCGTGGGTGTGGGTGTGGGTGCGATGGGTGTACATCATAAGAACACCAATACCTGCACCTGGCCACACCCCACACCCACACCCACACCCCACATCCACACAAAATATAAACTGTAGGTATTATTTTTATTAGTTTTTTTTCTTTACTATTATATGAAGGGTGGTAAGACCTTCCATAATGTTGTTTTTCTTTTTCTGTTAATTATAGATATCGTCGCATCGCGTCATCGTTCAACATCAGCGAGTGAGTCATATTTTCTTTTTCTTTCTTGAGTTGAGATGAGTAAGAGAGAGAGGGGATGGGCTATGTTAGTTGAGGGTTAGGGGTTTCGTCTTCTATGAAGGACTTTCGGGTAGTCCCTAAAAGTCCGGCCAGGAACTGCTTTGTGTGTCCGTGGCACACGATCGGGCCCCCAGACTCACTGACAGGTGACATCGGATGGTTGCATGTGGATGACGTGGGTCTTCCAGCGCGTGCACGAGCTTTACGCTCGCCATGGCTCCACCAGGGTGATTACTGGTCGCGCGTGCGCGAATAGAAAAAAAAATAAATCAATCGTTTCGTTCGTTCAACGTGAATTTATTTGAGAAGGAAAGAAAAAAAACTCATCGTAATGAGTTCATTCAATTGAAAAACGTTGAACACGATGGTTGTCCTCATCGACGACATAGAGATTGCCTTGTCGATCGAAGGACAAACCACGGAAATATTTGAACTGATTTGCTCCAGCTCCTTCACCATTTCCATCCACAATGACAGTGCCTTGTTTCGATCCTTTAGGCCAACGCATTACTCGATGATTCGACGAGTCTGCCACATAGATGGTACCCAATGTATCGACGAACAGTGCATTAGGCTTCGTCAATTGTGTCAGAGCATTTCCTTCGCCTTGGCCTCCAGCAACGACAATGCCTTTTTTTGCACCTTTAGTCCATTTCATTACACGATGATTGTAGTTGTCTGACACGTAGACAGTCTGTTGTTGATCGACAACGATGTATGTCGGCTCGTTGAGTTGATTGAGATCAGCACCTTTGCCATTACCACCAGCCACAAGAGTTCCATTCTTGTCTCCTATTTGATATCGCCTTACTTCATGTTTCTCGATGTCAGAGACGTAGAGATATCCCTGATCATCCATGGCCAATCCAGCACAATCTATATTATCGATGAGGATTTCACCTTGAGTTGTGCCACTACGACGAGACCATCGTACAACTCGTTGATTCACTCGATCACAAATAATGAGACTATCAGACTCTTTGTCGATTAAGACATCGGTTGGATAATATAATCGATCCAATCGACTTCCTTGGCCATTGCCACCAGCTACGACTTTTCCACTCGTATCACCCATCTTCCATTGAATGATACGATGATTGTCGAAGTCAGCAATGACCATCGTTTGATCATCATCTACGAAGAGACTGCAAGGGTTCGAGAGTTGATTTGGGGCACTACCTCGTCCACGGCCTCCAGCAACAGTCGTTCCATTCTGTTTCCATCGTGCATCAACAGTAATATTGAGAATTCCTTCAATGAACGAAAAAGGAAATCATCATTATCGTTGCTAATGAATAAGACAATCTTCTTCTCCGAAGAGAATTGCGTAAAGCTTTTCAAGAACGTCATTCTCTAACATGTTCTAAACAAGTAAAAGATTTTCCTCCGTAGATGGAAATCAGAAAGGTTTTTCCCCGTGTGTTTATGAGAATGCTTTCAGATTCCTGAAAACGAGTATTTTTGGAAATATTGAGAAGATTTTATCTGTATCTTGATTTTAGAGTGTTTAGGAGACGTATTGAGTAGATGTTTTTAACATTGTTGCTAATTTCTGGAAAGCTCATCTAAACGAGACTACCCTTGGAAAACGCATGTGTTTGAAGAATTCTAAATGACTTCGTCGAACATATCTTATAAGTGAGATCTTGGGTGAGAAGATTCAAATACTTCAATTTATCAAGTGGAATGACATCTTATGATCAGATGAAAATATGAATTATCGACTTGTTCAAGTGTAAAGCTGTGAAATTTTCGACAATGTCAAACATCATTCGACGTAGGTAGTCGAGTTCCATTTACACTAAAAAAATTGATGCTTTTCCATTGAAGTTTTCAGAAACACACGGGGAAAAACCTTTCTGATTTCC